ACTCTCTCCTAGGATAACCTTGCAGTCTTTACATGACGGTCGATCTACTTTCTTAACCAGGAATAGGTCTATTTGGCTTTTATGTGATTCACTTTTATAGTTATTAAATGTTCATCTTGCTTAAAGTAAGTGTTTGCTATTGCTAGGTCGTAGGCTATAGTAAAATCTAGAATAGTCTCACCCATCTCATTTTTTTTCCAAACCCATATCCCCTATGTACCCCTTCATATCCTCTACTATCCTTCTCTACATGACCATTTAAGTCACCTGCTAAAAAGGTCCTCTCTCCATTTGGTATGTCTTGGACTATTCCATCTGTCCTCCCAAAATTGTATTTTAATTATATCATCTAATCCTACTTGTGGTACATAAGCTCTAATTACGTTAATTATCTCATCCCCTAATACAAGGTTAATTAATAAGAGCCTATCACCTATTCTTTTGACATTAACTACTTTATCTTTTAAATCTTTGTATACTATTATGGCTACGCCATTTCTATTATTATCCTTTCCTGTATACTAATGTTTATACACATCTATTTCTATAGCGTTTTCTCTTTTCCATTTAGTTTCCTACGAACAGACTATGTTTACTCTTCTTGGTCTCATTGTATCCACTAACTCCATACTCTTACCTGTAAGTGTTCCTACATTCTATGTGGCTAAACGAATTCTATTCTCTTAGACTAACTTCTTTACCTGCACTCGTCCAAGATGTTGCTGGAACCTTTGCCTCTTTTTCACTGCAACCGGGTGGCACTGCGGCGCATCACTACTAGAGAACACCCTAGCTAACCCTGCTCATTTCTCATTGTACCTGAGGTCCGGTACAGCGCATCGCTTCTAGGGAATGCCCTAGCTACCCCTTGTTCATTTGTCACTGTACCCGGGTTCCGGTACAGTGCGTCGTTTCTGGGGAACACCCTAATATAAGCAGATATTGTATGTTCAGGATAAGTTTTGGCAAAATTTTACATTTGCTACGTACCTAACACAACGCAGCCCCTTTACCTATGTATGAGACGGTTTAAGGGAAAGTTTAAGGTCATCACCCTTCTTATACCTCAACACCAGAACTATATCTTCCAACAAAATTTAGACCTCAACAACATAACTACATCTTCCGACAAAATTTCAAGGTACGTCTTACTTTTATAGTATAAGGTGGGCACCTTATACAAACCTCACCTATGTATAAAAGATATAAATGTTGGCTATTGATAGGAAAAAAAATATAAATTTGTGTATTGAAAAAACGTTAAGGGAAGACAGACCAAACCGTTATAGATGCCCTACGTTCTACCTGAAGAGACAACCCAACCCTAAGACTAACACAGCTTTAGAGCTGCGATGGAGAGAGAAGGCATGCAACTAGAAGTTACCGACGACGCTACTTGTCTTGCTGAACATTAACTAACCAACAGGGAAAAAGAAATTACATAAAATAAAAAAGATGTATAGTGCCCGTGTGCCTAAACTTATAATAGTCCACAATAAAATATATTGTATACGTCACCCAGAACGTGATACGAAATCAGTATGATGTACCAAAAATATAAAATGAATGTTAACATATATAGCCCTTATAGTACAAATAATATTTAGTTTGTGTATTATATACGAAAATGTATGTCACCTGGTGGGTATGTGTGTCAGATAGGATACTCATACCTGTATTTGGCTACTTAGGTTGTCGATATTCAATGGTTGTTAACAAAATGAAGATGAATTGAGATAGCTCAAGATCTTGGCGACAGAATCCATATGTGTAGATCAATATGCATCCATGAATTGACTAAAAAGATCATATCAGCGCTAGACAAATATATGAGTTTCCCCACAAGTCTGATATAGAACACATCTTCCGAAGGAGTATCAAAAATGAGATCCAACTTGCTGGTACGATCTATAAGTGATTCAGTAGGTTTCAATCCCTGCTTTTTGTTGGATGCATGAATTAGCCCCTTGTATGAATTTTTATTACAAGAGGCTAGTATACATCAATTCAAGGACAAAAAACACAAAATTACAGCAAGGTGGGACTAATACCACCACCTTAAATCCCCTTTTACAACTCAAAATAAAGAAGAAAAGGAACTCCTCATAGCCCCCATCAATTTCCACTCAAAACACAAGTTAAGGAAGCATTACATACAAGACAATGTGTACATTATACAAACATCTGCACCATACAATTTCTCTACACAATATACACCTTTAATTTACATAAAAATACAATCCAACTGCATTCCTTCACTTAACAAGACTGGTACAAACTTATTAGAACTCAATTAAGAAAGTTTCGACCATGGGAAGGCAATCATAGAACTCAGTTTGCTCACGGTCACCCCTCGAAACTATTACACCCAAGCAAAATCTCCGCCTGTAATAGCGCAGGGATGCGGGACTCTCCTCACTCCTGAAATATAGGAAGCCAACCAAGGAAGCAGTCTTACACAATAATAGGTCACTCAAAGATGCTTAGATCAGTGAACACACATCATAAAGAGATCTAGCATGATCATGCCAGTGCTGACCAATTGATCCATCATATCGACTCCTTATGAAAGGGCCTTTTATAGACTATCAATCTAAGCTACAAAACTCATGGAAATCAATTTTTACCTTGCTGTAACTGAGACTTAGAACACTAATTACAGCAAGGTTATGGATCCAAAATCTCACAAATAGATGGCGCGAAGACTAGGCAATAAGGCTAGTACACACTATGATAAGGCATGATGAGAGCACATAACTAAGTCATAACCCTCATGCAAACCAAGGTTTACCTTGCTGTAACTAATCTTGAAACAGAAGTTACAGCAATGTAATGAAGGCTTAATGACCACAAAATGGTGGTGTAAAGTGTAGGGAACAAGTGTAGACAATAGGCTATCGTATCGACTATAGAAGGGCAAGATATTGTCCTATAAAATCAAGCCTCAAGGATCAAAAAGGATGACACTATCTTGCTGTATTGAAGGGAATGAAATGAGTCAAAGGAAACATAAGTAAGGAGAGGCAAAGAATGTGATCTCTTAGGAGAAGGAGTCAAAGCCTCCATTGTCGTTGGCATCCATTTTTTAGAGATATTCACAACTTTGCGCAACATTTTGGTTTCAGTCCACCACTCATGGAGGGAAACCAATGAAGAGAAACATTTCGGTTTCACGCCACCACTCATGGAGGGAAACCAATAACATTGCAGATGATTGGGCATGGGCCTCGCTTAGTGTTTCACTTCGTAGACAAGTAGGGTTTCATAGTAGCATTCCAATTTTGTGAATACATACTTGTGAAGAAATTAATTAGATTAACTAAACTTTTGTTAACTACCAAAAAAATTTACATTGCACATCACCAACAAGATTGCAGATCTTCTAGCACCTGAAGGGGTTCACAAGACCTAAGTGTCTCAATTTTGTAGATAAGTATATATATATATGGAAAACACTACGCAACGCCTATAGGCGAAAATGAACAGTGATTTCGCCTACCCCCATCACCGTCCAAAGTTCATCGTGCGGTCACGATTTGTCCGGCAGTGTTTCATTGTTTATTTTTTTTCTACAAATCAGAATGACTTGAAATTTGGAGGTGTATTCATCAAAAATAAGAGAATTTTCGAAAAATATAAAAAAAATATTTGACATGAAAAAAATTGACCAAAATA